TAAATGATAAATATTTATGAGTTTTATTATTTTATACCATGGACAAAACGTACTCCTTAGTAGATTTCCCATTCTTATGGAACAGCTGAAGCCAATTTTATTGTTAGTTCTTTCCGGTGTACTGTAGATTTCGTGTTTTGTTTATTTGTTTCTATTATTTTAGGGTTAGTTTCTAATGATATGTGTCTCACTGTTTGGTTATATATCTAGTAGACAAGTCATTGTTTATGATTAGATAGTTTTATTTGGTTAAACGAGGTTTTAAATTACTGAAATAGCAAGAATCGAATTGTAAACAAAACACGACTCTACAGTACACCGGACAGAACTAACAGTAAAATTGGCTTCAGCTGTTCCATAAGGATGGGAAATCTACTAAGGTAGTATGTTTTATCTATGGTAATACGAAAGAAAGATTATGAGAAATGGTGTATGCGAAAGAAAAAGTTCCCACAACATGCTTGAGAAAGATAACAACACATAATCCGTTGTATACACAAAATATAGCAGACAATATATAAAAAGGAAAATGAGTTCATCGGAATTCAGTACTTTAAAAATTAATTTACGAACCATTTTGATGCTAGAGAATTAAAGTTATAAGGCTAATGCTAATAAACATCAATAGATACTCCTGTTCAAAGGGCTCAAAGTGTAGTCGAAATCTTATCTTTTAAAAGTACAAGAGACCTTCGATAAAAAATTACTAGATGCGATTTGACATTTCAAAATGGGGACCATGTTAATTCTTGGGACTTAAATTACAAACATATGATTTATTTTATGAAAAATGGCAAAACAACATTTTTTTGGCATCAACATTTTCATATTAAACTATATAACGGATAAAGAGACTAGATAATTAATAGCTATGTTTTTAGTTGTACAGGCCAGGCAAAATAATGCCAACATGTCAGGATGCGCCTTATTTTTCCTCTGTATAATACCAAAAATTGCGATTTTCAGCTATTAATCATCTAATCTTTTTAAACTTGATGTCATGTAACAGGAAATTGTACATGCCAAATAAACTTGTCATGAAAGATTTCATAAAATAATCATTTTTTTGTAATTTAAGCTCAGATCGAGATTTAGCCTACAACATACATCTATACCTATAACGTGCAAAGCCGTCACTGACACTGACCGACTGCCTCACTCATCACTAAATTCTCATTTAGACAGAAGACTGAAATTTGGTACACTGATTCCTTAGGCATTCAATAGTAAAACTAAGTCGTTTTTATTCTGATATGACTTTTGGGCTCCGCCCCAGTGGCTCTGGAGTTTCCCATATTAACCTTACGATTTTTCATATTTAAAAGGAATTAACGAATCTTATAAGCTGGTTCAATTTAACAAGTAGGTTCTATCATGTTCAATAGCATTAAAGTTACAAGGTTTACCCAGCACTATTAACTTTTTGTTTGAATTTATGATAACAGCTAATTTGAACAAAGTAGCAACAAAAAGCTGTGATACACAATGCCAACGGTCAAATACCAAATTGTCGTGGTACTGTGCGAATAGGGTAATTTTATTTTTAATTGCATAATTCATCAACTTGACTATTGACTTAGCTATTTTGTTTTCCAAAATTTTATAAAAAAGTATCGTGGGTGTTTTGGTACGGTAATCAATCGTTATTAATACTTACAAAGTCAAACGGGGTGAAGCCCGCGGGTAACAGCTACATAGTACATACACATTCACCTATTAGGTCTGATGATGATTGAAGTGCCCATTGTCCAATCGAAATCGATTACCATTTTTTTTAATACCGTCTGTGAGATAACACAATAAGTGTAAATATATGTTTAAAGTGTTAAACGTATTTTTATTTACTTTCCGTAGAAAGATAAACTACCTAACTAGTACTGCCACAAAACAAAACTATTTAGTTTGTGGACGCTTCCTATGATAACTAAATTCCGGATAACCTATTGTAAAAAAACTTTTTAGAAACTATCTATGCATCCGAGTAGCATGTCTACTCACCATGTCTGTGGTTTACTAGTCTATTGCTTTGAGTATCTTTGATTTTCTTGCCAGTTTTCCTGTTTGCCAAACCGGCAAATAAGCCTAATTGGTTTACCATCACCGCTATTATCTAAAAGCGATTAGAACATCGCTTAAATACCCACCCTCGCCTACCCCTCGTCGTGGGGTCTCTTCACTTCTCAGGTAAGCGGCCATTTGGAAAAATTCAAAATTGTTTATTCACCACCAAATATTTTATACAAGCATAATTTTTAAAGCAATCTAACCAATTCAAATCCTTGAGTTTTCGTTGTGTGTAATTGAGTTTTTTTATAAACATATTGCTTGGGTATTCATAATAATTTGTGTCATTATGTATATAAAACATTCAATTTAAGGATGTAAAGGATTATAAACACAGTGGTGAAAATATTAAAAAATAATAAGCTTGACAATTGAAGACCTAACTTTATTGTTTTATTATCTTTATGTCTTTAGTAACTTAAACTAATCAATTAAAAATAATAACTAAATCACTATGCTTATAAATGTTTTTTTTAATGTAGCCTACCGCGTATAAACAATTACTTAATCATAGGTTTCAACCCTAGGTTAAATAATTACTTAATGATTTTTACCTGTAATATTTTTCTTGAAGATTTTAATATGATTCTCTAATATTATCGTTCACTTCTTGTTGTTGAGCCAACCAACAAAATAAATCTAGAAATGAGTCAAATAAAATCCTCATTTTGTTGTATACATTTTCTTTAGGAATAAGTACAGTAGTATTCTTGTGACTATATTTTGTCATACAAACAGGTGATTTACTTGAATTTTGAATCAGTTGCAGTTCACAAAACAGCTGATTTCTAACAATTAATTAATTTATAATAATAAATTTTCGAATAACTTTGCTCGCTTCGAATGGCAACAAACATGAAAAAAAAATTTTGTTATAAGAATGAAATAACAATATTTATGACCACAGGAATGGTACTTTAAAACCAATGTTCTTTCATGAGCAAGTAATGTAGGCCTAATATTTAGTAAAATGTGGTTCAAAGATCAACCTGTTATCGATTGTTTTTTTGAAAACTACCTATCGTATTTAAATAATGTTTTATTACGGTTAGATACTACTGAAGTAAGACTTAGGTTCTTGGGCACAGTAATAAATGGAGACAAAATACAAAAAATATGTGCAATTCGTGAGAAAAGTGTCTTATGAACCTGATAAGCAATTTTATACAGTATTGACAGCGATTTTTTCAAACAATCTTTACAAACAATGTCATTTTGTATATTTAGCCTTAATAGGCCAGGAGGCTTTTATTAGATAGTGTCAATTTGCCCTAACTATTATTCTGTACAGAGGAACTGGTCTGTAGCCCATGCAAATGCAGGAAAATTATTATGCCTGTTTTGGGTTGGTACGAGTGCGAGTGTGTGAGCGATTTTACCCATAAAATACCAAAGGTTACTCCCACCGATTGTTCATGATAAGGGTGTTTGGTAAGCTAATGGTAGAAAGTATGTGTCAGATTTCTTACACAGTTTATTTTGTTTTTGATTTTATCACTAAATGCTACAGTTGTTAAAAGTTATTACGGACACGGTTATAGTCTAATTTGCGTTTCAGCAAAATACACACCAATTCTGATCAATCAGGTGACTGATGATTAACTAGAAATTTGAACCAAAACTGCGCTTAGAATATTTTACTATACAGTAGAACAAAGTGAAACGGTAATGCATATTTTATTCAAAATTCATGTTTTCGGCCCCTGGACTATATTGTTAAGACAATAATAGGTTTTTTACATTCCTCAGTCAAATAGTCCAAAAATATTGCTCAACATCTTACATGTTTCGTTGTGAAGACAACATTTTCAAAGCTTACAACTCGTCAAAAACACATTTAAAACACGGACACGAACACAGAAAACATTAATACGGTACGAATACACGTCTTCGCAACGAAACATGTAAGCTGTTGAGCAATATTTTGGACTATTTGACTGAGGTATGTAAAAAACCTATTATTGGCATATTTTAAGTTGCTACTTGTATACTAATGTTTTGAAATTATTGATCATGTCCAAATACCGATGTAGCCAGGTTTCAAACCAAAACCACACATTTAGTGTATTTTTCAAAGGTAACTTTTTAATTTATGACCCTAATAGTCAATTTCCCATAGGGAATAAGCTATTACTGCAGGTCTCATGGTAAGACCTAGATCCGGGACCGATTTAGCTGTTTTTTTTTTTAGGTCCCCCGAGGCCAAAAACACCATCCGTTCAAATTCAGCGCCTATATTATTACAGTGAGACAGGTAAATTCGTGGTAATGGTTTAAGGCATTTTACCAAGTAAAAAAATAGGCATGTCACCAAAATTAAGCTAATAGTAATAGTGTATAGACTTACCGAAAAGTATTGGTATAAACGAATTTCCTATGGCTCTGTCCCACAGGCCAATTTTCAAAGGGATATGCCTTTACATGTTTCCAAATTTTTAAATTATTTAATTTATTAAATGAAACAGCTGATCGACGCTATTTACAAGGTGTTTGTGTATTTACTTAAAAGGGGGTTTTATGCAGTATTAATGTATACGTCTGAAAAAATAACCATCCACAAGACAATACTGTAGTATATTTTGCACCAAGGAAATACTAGGTTTTGATGATCGTGTTTTAAGTCCAAGACTAAGTTGAGACCACAGTGAAACAAACGATAGTAAGAGCCGTAATTAATATTTGGCCCCTGCTTCTAAAACTTGACTTCCTGTGACTGTGTATAGATAAATGAGCCACACATATAACAGTATTTATGAAAATATATTTAACTAATTGAAGTGTGTAGCGTGTGGAATATGTTTAGAAGCATGTGATGGACAATGATCGTACAACCATAGAATAAATAAACACCATGGATATTACTTAATCTATGGTACAACACATACCATGATATAGATCATGTTCTTCTTTGTCATCAGGTTCTACCGACGATCAAGATGGCTCGATTGTCACTCATGTTCGTGGGCGTAGCGGCCCTCTGTGTGGTCGGTGCCAGAGCCAACAGTGACATCGACAGTTACATCTACGGCATGAGCTACTCCGCCGACCAGGTCCTCGCCTACAGGGGAGACAGCAAGACGAGTGTCCCGGTAGAGAGAGAAGGCAAGCTGAGTCCCGACAAGAGCTTCATCGTCATCACTAGAGAGAAGAAGACCGCTCAGAACGGCAAGGCCGACATTGGAGTCGTCACTTCTAATGAACACAGGAGCTACCCAGGAGCTTTGCTGTTGGCTAACCAGAAACTCATCGACAACTCTCCCGACATCCTAGCAGTGGACCGCGCTCCTCTCACCTACACCGTCAATCTGCCTGGACTGACCTCCGAAGGAAGCTTCACCGTCCAGCCGTCATTCGCTGAGTATCAATCCGCTAAGGAAAGGACTCTAAAAACCTTCTTCGAGAAGCACCCCAACCAAAACGTCGTAGCCAACTTCCAGAACGACTTCACCTTCGCATACAGCCAGGAATACCTGAGAGTCAAGTTCGGGTTGGAGTTCAAGAACACTCAGATCGAGACCAGCATCGATTTCAGTGCTATGCAGAACCAAGAAAAACTCATCATGATCCACAAGTTCAAACAAGTATTCTACACAGTCAGCGTTGAACCGACCAAGAAACCCTCCGACCTGTTCGCCTCATCGGTGACCGCCGCGGAGCTTATGCAGAAGACAAACGCCAACAACCCTCCAGTGATGGTGGACAGCGTATCCTACGGCAGAACCATCTACGTCAAGATAGAGACATCCTCCACCGACAACGAGGCCAAGGCCACCCTGGCGACTAAAGTGACCAATTTCGACATCAAGGGTGAAGTCGAAACCGAAATCAAGAAGAAGCTGAAGAACCTCAGCATGACCGTTTTCGTGGTCGGAGGAAGCACCGAGCAAGTCCAACTGATCCAAGCCCAGACCTTCAAGGAAGTCAACGACATTCTGGTGAAATACAGTAAGTTCTCCAAGGACAACTTGGGATACCCCATCTCGTACTCTGCCAACTTCATCAAGGACAACTCCAGAGCAGTTGTGCAGATGGCCACAGACTACATCGAGACGACTAGGACCATCCACACTAAGGGAATAATTAAGATCGTCCACAAGGGATGGTTCGTGATGCAGTGGGCTGTCACGTGGAAGGAGATCAACTACGACAAGAATGGAGCTAAGATTTCCAAGGAGGTCAGCTGGGAGAAGAACTGGCACGACTTGACTGCTCCCTTCGACCGGGAGATCGAACTGCCCGGAAATGCAGAGGACATCCATGTGATTGCTAAGGTAGCCACAGGACTAGCTTGGGAGTGGTGGCGAACAGTCATCGACAGAAGTGGAATCCCACTGATCGACAAGAGAACATTCACTGTCTGGGGAACGACCCTCTTCTCCGAAAACTCCATCTCTCCTCCCGTCTAAGACTCGAATTCGAATCAACGACTGAATAGGAAGAAAGAAATGCAATTAAATACTACAACAATAATATCCTTTGAGCGAATTGAGTCAAAACTTTGATGTAAATACATATTGTCTTTTTTCACTGTTATTGTAAATGTGTAGCTTTTGTACCGTGACTTGTATGTTTTAACATTTTATAAGAAATAAATATAGCAGTTTTAAATAGGGTTTTGTTCGTTTATAATCCTTTTCCTGTTAAACGAGGTAAGAGTAGCCTACAACTGTATAACAAATTATTGTTAACGGAATTTTATTATCAATGATTACCCATGTTATGTTTAGCCATTAAGCGTGCAAACGGACACACCCCCCCCCCCCCACACACACACACACACACACACTACTGTTATACATATACTGTTATACATGTACTGTTATATATATATATATGACATCAAAATAAAAAAACTAAAACGGCCTCAGGTCCAAGTCTTACTATGAGACCAACGGTAATATGGGAAATTCACTGAAATGTGTATTACTAAACTTGATACCTGGGGAGCGAGTTGGTCCAGTGGAAGAGCGCGAAGTGGTAATATGTCAAACAATTTCAGGATAAAACTAGTGTCCTGGAATGTGAAGGTGGGACATAAAAAAATCAAACTGTAACCGGTAAAAATGAAATAATGGCGAAGAAGTTATTTCTCTTGGATTTGTAAACAAATTAGGTTCATCCAGTCTTGAAGACATTACATGCCGTTCTCAACAGTTCGTCTATTTACCACTAGATACTTTAATACTTACTTTACTTTAATATTTCTCAATGACATGGTGACAATACAAAGTAGTTATTACAAACTGGTCTAATTATCAGGATAGTACTGTGGATAGTCGTAGTACTCACTAGTGTGAATGTTAATCCACACCAGGGAGTATCGCAAACACAGTGTATGCCTATAAATATCCACAATGTTAGCACTTACATCCCTGTTAGGAACAGTTCATCCAGTCACCGCTGGACAGCTCTTACATCGTCGTTCGCCACAGTTCGTCTAATCACCACTAGATTTAGATAGCTCTTAAATCGTCGTTCTCAATAGTTCGTCTATTCACCGCTAGGTAGCACCAAAACATAAGCAACACCAGCTTTTAATGTCGTGTAATATAAACGGTAATTTAAATTGTATTAATTACAAAAAACAAATTTAAACTAAGCCAAACAAATCAAATAAGTTATTTATTTAACACCAATTCACTGTATTCTGGTATAATACTGTAGTAGTGCCACAAATAAACCGTTTTACGTTTTGACACTCGCAGCGATCTTTGCGTTGCTCGCGCTTATAAGGATTATTACTTGTCTATTCTCTCATCTTACAAGTGTTATAACATGGCATAACATTATTTGAAAAGCCGAGAGTCGTGCCTCTACGTAAGAGGTTGACGATTGGCTTATAAACGCATAATATACGTGACATGATTGATGATGGGAGATGAGGTATAGCAATTCAATGATAATTAGAAGTTAATTTTCAAAATTAATAACTTTTTACCCTCCCTGTTGCAGCAAACCATAGTACTGGATAAACTAATTACATTTAAAAAGGGAATAAATGTGATATTTTTAAGGATACATTTTAGTGTCAATTCAATCAGGCAAACGGAAATTCGCTTAGTCTAATAGTCTGCAGTTAAAAGTTATTTATAACCTGTTATTTTGTAACTAAGCCGATTAATATAAAGATAACAAAGTTATCTTAATCCAAGCGGGATGACAGAATATATTAATAGAAACAAAATAGCTTTCTATCCTAATGGTTCTGCTGGTATCACAACAAGCCTGTGTTGGCATGAGCATCTGCAATATTATCAGTGAGTTGATCAGTTCTAGTGATAAAGGAGGAATTGTGTTTTCCTTTATAACTAGAGGGAGTTATATCAAGATGGATTTTGGACAGTATACTACTGTTATATACAGATTTTTTAAATTTTTGTGTGTGTATTTATCCAAGCCATTGGCATTTTACGTGTTTTTATGAGGAAATCCAAACACTGGTCTTGTTGACGAATGGCATCTTGGTCGGGATCGAACCAGCCGTCTTCAGATATGAAGGAGAAGAAGAGAACTACTGTGCTACCGAGCGGTTCGTCTACTCAGAGAACTTTTTTGCTCAGAACTAAACCATAAATCGAGTATATGACTGCAGTACTGTATTACAAACTATACTTTTCTTTTAAACCAAAAACAGGTTATTTTTTTAAATAAAATCTGTGGATATTTAGATTTAAACGTGCCACGATGCATTATCATGAACAGGTACCATATTGCAGTTTTTTAGCCAGTGGAGGAGCGATACTCTGGAGGTGTCGTCGGAAAATTTAGTCTCATTACAAACAATAATTTCATATTTTAGTATTAGGTTTCTTGTTTGACGATTTAAAAATGTATAACTGTTCTTAATATACTAACAAATTATTAGTGTCTTCCTGAACATTGTCTTGCTAATTCATCACATTGGATGCGACATAGTGTGTGGAATTGGTGTTGCGGGAGTGCAGGTCACGAATTCTATCGGTCACAAAAGGCAACAGATTGTAGGTAATGAAGATTTTCATACGAATAAACCATTCGATTTTGGCATATTTCAATAAAAATCTTATCGTCAAGTCATGTAGAAAAGTGTAAACATAACAGGAATCATATTTTATATGGTCTCTTTGAAGCGATTGACGAGAAAAACGATTATCAAAGTGTTGATTCTCACAGGGAAAAGCGGAAACTTAGTAAGCATATATACAACTCGGAGCCTTTAGTCTAATGAATGGACTGACGCTTATAGGCGATAACCTGAAAAGTTCTTGATTGCATAGCTCTGAACTTTCTTCGAGGGTCTGTTTGAGGATGTTCACTTTTGGAAGTTAAACGAAAGACTTTCGTTTCACTATCATGAGTCATTTTTTGAAACTTTAAATTTTAATGTTGATTTCCCCACACAAAATTGTAAACTGTGTGGACCGACCGATACTCTTATGCGTCCAACCAGGATGAGGACTATATTTTCAACTAGGATTATTCATTGGATTTCCCCGATTCCCTCACTCTCCAGCTTCCACTGGTGGGAATGAATGAATGGATGAATTCTGTATTGATTCCAACAAAGTATTTACACAAATTGTACACAAATATTAAAAGGAGAGAAAAAACATATTTAAAAGAATAAATTAAATTAATCTTTGTATTACATCTATGTTTAACAAAGCGTACCTATTTTTAGGGAATAGCCCGACATGGGCAGCGAGCCTGTGCATGGACTGTTGTTGTGACCAGACATAAAATCATTTGATTAAATAAAAATAATAAATAAATAAATAACAGAAGATGCGGTGAAAATATGATCCAAATGGAGTTACAAGAACAAATGATGACATAAATAACTATATGAAAAAATATATCGAGCATAATTAAGTTTAAATAAAATATAATAGTATTGTACAGTAGAGTCCCGCAAACTCGGCTCTCGATAACCCGGCAGTCTGGATAACTCGGTCATCACCTGGCTCAGAAAATTAGTGATTTTTTGAGTCCGTGTTAAAAATGGACTCAAGCCAGCTCAATCAAATCATTCGCAACTCATACCAAGGATTTGTTGTACTATATCTGATGACTTAATACTGACTTGTAATATAAATATAAATAAAAAAGGTGGTTAAAAAGCTTACAAAATTGTATTTTTATTATTTTAAACCCTTGTTTCTGATAACCCGGCATTTCACAAACTCAGCATCCTTCCAGTCTACATTACGCCGAGTTTGCGGGACTCTACTGCAATAGCAACAGGAATTCTACGGCTGTCAAAATGTGTCTATGGATCCTTCTCTCATACATTCACAACCCTTGAATGTCAGTAATGAAAATCGCTGTCCACTGTTTGAACAAAAGTTTGCAAACATTTTTAAAACTCTTCCACAGCATCTATGGGGAAAAACGTAATTACTTCTCTGTGGTTTACCTACGACAGTTTTTTTTACATTAACCTTTTCAGTTATATTCTTAGAATTAAAAGTTTCACATAACAGCATAGTTTTACTTGACAACACGGGTAACGGACCAATAAGGTTCAAGGATTGAGGGTGAAGAAGTAAAATTGTAATAGCTGTTTAACAATTTAATTGTTGAGTGGTGCAATTAGTGATTGGTACAATGAGTTGCATGCATCAATGTGAGTGCCAATGAGAGGTTATAAACGAAAACATAACCTCTCTTAGAAGTTTCGAGTAGTGATTATTAGTAATTAAAAACCAGTCGTATGTAACTTGTAGTGTACGCAACTCGCGTAAATAGTGTTAACGACACTCGTAAAGGTGTTAAAGGCCCTCGCCAAAGCTCGTGCCACTATTTTTACGCGATCGAAAACTACTATTACTGGACCATTAGTTTTATGGGTAGCCAAGTAGCAAAGACAGTTTTGGAAATGTAAATAAATAAATTGTATACGCCATATGCTTATAACAAATCATCTACAGTAAGTAGCAACTTACTAAATACAGTATAAAAGAAAAGGACATTTTTATGAATACCATTTAGCATTGGTGACGTGTTTTACTAAGCAATTGATGATTACGACTGTTTAAGACCATAGAGATTATAACTGCCAAAGATTACACTCATACTGAAGTAAATGGCTTGAGGATCAAACCAGGGAAGTTGTAGTTTTCAATGATATGGAATGGGTGTGTTCTTTGACAATCCCACGGATTATAAAATAGAAAGGACACTTATTCAAACAAAAATCATTCACAACAGTCAAATAGATTCACAACATTAAATACAAACAAATAACCCGAAAATGAACATGTTTGTATTATTATTTCAATGCAATTACAAAATGAACGTCAAAAACACATAATTATTATGCATTAGATTTTATACAAAACGTAATTCTTTTATGTTTTTTACCCACACCGTTTCTGTTCTAAATAATTTCCTTGTACGTTCCCTATTCGCATTGTTGCGACGTTTT